AAAGTCTCAGGCTGAGTTCCTGTCTCCTGGCTTCCAGTTAGCCCAGCCCAACTATTGCAGGCATTTAAGGAGCCTGCTCCCTCCTCCAGAGCTTGGGCCCCCCAAATGATATTCACAGGCCACCCACTTCTTCTTTGTTTGGGGCAAGAGGTTAAACCTCAATTTCACATTCCTCTTGCACAGTGTCATTACAGGCCATACCCCACAGACCTGAAAATGCCCTTCACTCTTCCCATGACTCAGTGTTTATGGGGCAGCTCTGTTTCCTGTATGTGAACCTGGCGTGTTGTTATGTGTTGACTTGATTTAATGTATTTGATGGGCAGAGAAAACAGAGGAGAGAAAATATCTTGCATCATGATTCACTTTCCTAGTGCCTGCACCAGCTGGAGTCAAGCAGCATCCAGCCCGACCTTGAAGGAGGCGAGAACCCCAGTCCCTTGGGTCTGGCATGGTAGTCTAGTGGCTAAGTCCTTGCCCGAGATCCCATATGGGCACTAGTTCGTATCCCAGCTGCTCCGCTTCCCTTCCAGCTCCCTGCTTGTGGCCTGGGAAAGCAGTCGAGGACGGCCCAAAGCCTTGGGACTCTGCACTGGCATGAGATACCCGGAGGAAGCTCCTAGCTTGGGATCAGCTCAACTTTAGCTGTTTTGGCCACTTGGGGAGTGAACCCGGCAGAAATAAGCTCTTCCTCTTTGTCTCCTCGTCTCTCTGTAAATCTGACTTTCCAGTAAAAAAGAAAAAGGAACTCCAATCCCTAGCTGTATTCTGCCTTCCACCCTTCCCAGGATCCACATCTCAGGCATCTGGAACAGAAGGGAATCTGGGGCCTGGTGCTGTGGCCTAGTGGCTAAAGTCCTTGCCTTGAACGTACCCGGGATCCCATGTGGGTGCTGGTTCTAATCCTGGCAGCTCCACTTCCCATCTAGCTCCCTGCTTGTGGCTTGGGAAGGCAGTCGAGGATGGCCATATGCCTTGGGATCCTGCACCCATGTGTGAGACCTGGAGGAAGCTCCTGACTCCTGGCTTCGGATCGGCGCAGCACTGGCCGTTGCGGTCACTTGGGGAGTGAATCATTGCACAGAAGATCTTCCTCCTTTCTGTATATTTCACTTTGTAATAAAAATAAATAAATCTTAAAAAGAAAAAAGGAAGGAAATCTGTCACTCGCTCAAGGACTCTGGTATGGGACACAGGCATCCTAAGGGTTGTTTGATTCACTGTACTAAATGCGCATCCCTTGTGGATGGCTTAAAGGGCTATGTGGCAGAGGAGGGGTGGGTCCTAGGTGGGCGTGGACTACCCCAGCTCAGCTCATGGCTGACTATATGATTCAGTGATGGCTCTGAGTCTCTTGGAGCTGTGCCTGTGACATGAGGACACTGGCTCTGTCCTTCTCACTTAGGCACTTAGGTCACGGATGACAAAATGGGGAAAGCTGAGGCTCAGAGAGTAGGCTCAATGACACATAGCAAGCAATGGTGCTGGAATGCCAACCTAGCCACATGCCTGAGGGTCTGGTCCCTCTCAGCCATGTGCACTGCTGCCTCCTAGGGGCACAGAAGAGTTATTGCAGAGGACAATCCTTCACCAGCTAGTTCTTGGTCCACCTCCCCTCCGCCCCCTGGTGGGGAAGAGTGTTCCTTGACCCCTTGTCCCACCATTGGAACTCATGCTTCCTGGAGTAGGTTTTGAACAGGTGCCATAGGGTTGAGAATTAGCATGTGGCCTGGGAAGCTTCCAAGGTCAGGTCCAGTTCTGTTGAGACCGAGCTCAGATGCCAGTAGAAAAAGAATGGAGCGGGCCTGGCGCCGTGGCCTAGTGGCTCAAGTCCTCGCCTTGAACGCATCAGAATTCCATATGGGTACCAGTTCTAGTCCTGGCAGCTTCACTTCCCATCCAGCTCCCTGCTTGAGGCCTGGGAGGGCAATCATGGACAGCCATATGCTTTGGGACCCTGCACCCACGTGGGAGACCTGGAGGAAGCTCCTAGTTTCTGGCTTCGGATCAGCGCAACACCAGCCATTGTGGTCACTTGGGGAATGAATCATCGGACGGAAGATCTTCTTCTCTGTCTCTCCTCTCTGTATATCTGCCTTTCAAATAATAAAAATAAATCTTTAAAAAAAAAAAGAAAAAGGATAGTAAAAAAAAAAAAAGAATGGAATTTCTGCGGTTCCCCAACTTCTCTTCCCCCATTTTGTATCACCCTATCCATCTTGGGAAATCCAAATGGGAACTGCTAGCTGCTCCTTTCCCAGTCCTGCCTCCGTGGGGTCTTAGTCCTAACGTGCTGTTGGTGGAGCTCCATTGGTGGCAAACGTGCACCAGTGCTCCCTTGGCAAGCCCCACTCCTCGGTTTGGGGACTGTCCTTTATTTCACAAGGAGCTTATTTTCGCAGTTAGTCTGCACGGTAGCCCAGTGCACTCTGTATCATAAACAATGTTTGCCTTTAAAGATTAATTAATTAATTAATTTTTTAATTCAGGAGAGAGCGCAAACGCAGTCCCCCACTACCACAAATTATGCAGTCGAGTTTCCCACATTTGGGGAAATCCCAGGGGTCAGCACAGCCCAAGTGCAATGGGTGAGCCTCATCCTGGGAAAACCACCTGCCTGGTCATGGTATCTCCCCTGCCAGGTAAGTATTAAACATTTATATATTTTTGTTGGAAAGGCAGATATACAGAGAGTGGGGGATACAGAAAGCAGGAAAGACAGAGAGGAAGATCTTCTGTCCGATGATTCAGTCCCCAAGAAGCCGCAACGGCCAGTGCTACGCGGATCTGAAGCAGGGAACCAGGAACTTCTTCTGGGTCTCCCACACGAGTTCAGGGTCCCAAGGCTTTGGGCCAAACTCGACTGCTTTCCCAGGCCACAAGCGGGGAGCTGGATGGGAAGTGGAGCTGCCGGGTTTAGAACTGGCGTCCATAGTGGATCCTAGTGTGTTCAAGGCAAAGGACTTTGGCTGCTAGGCTACTGTGCTGGGCCCTGGGAACCTGCACCTGTGTGGGAGATCTGGAAATCTCTGGGCTCCTGAGTTCAGATTGGCTCAGTCAATGGAAGAACTCTGTCTTTCCTTTTCTCTGTAAATCTGACTTTTCTTTTCTTTTCATTTTTTATTACAAAGTCAGATATATATAGAGGAGAAGAGATAGAGAGGAAGACCTTCCATCCGTTGATTCACTCCCCAAGTGAGCACAATGGCCGGTACTGTGCCGATCTGAAGCCAGGATCCAGGAACTTCTTCTAGGTCTTCCGTGTGGGTGCAGGGTCCCAGTGCTCTGGGCCATCCTTGACTGTTTTCCAGGCCACAAGCAGGGAGCTGGACGGGAAGTGGAGCTGCCAGGATTTGAACCAGCACCTACATGGGATCCCGGGCACGTTCAAGGCGAAGACTTTAGCCACTAGGCCACGCCGCTGGGCCCTGTAAACCTGACTTTCCAATAAATAAATCTTTTCAAAAATCTCCCATTTTATTACTGCTTTACATATATACATATATATTTAAAGATTTATTTTTATTGGAAAGGCAGATTTACAGATTTACAGAGAGGAGGAGGGACAGAGAGGAAGATCTTCCATCCAGTGGTTTATTCCCCAAGTGAGTGCAATGGCTGGTGCTGTACCAATCCTGATCCAGGAATCAGGAACCTCCTCCAGGTCTCCCACACGTAGGTGTAGTGTCCCAAAGCATTGGGCTGTCCTTGACTGCTTTCCCAGGCCACAAGCAGGGAGCTGGATGGGAAGTGGAGCTGCCAGGATTAGAACCGGCACCCATATGGGATCCTGGCGTGTTCAAGATGAGGACTTTAACCACTATGTTATCACGCCGGGCCCTTTACACATATTTTAAAAAATGCACTTAAGGCTATTGTGGTAATATAGGTGGCCCACATCCTATAAGGAAGCCAGTTCCAATCTCAGTTGCTCCACTTTGAAAAAAATATGTATTTGTTTTATTTAAAGACAGATTTACATAGTGGAGAGACAGAGAGGTCTTTCTTCTGCTGGTTCATTCCCCAAATTGCTGCAATGGCCAAAGCGGAACCAATCTAATGCCAGGAGCCAGGAGCTTCTTCCAGGTCTCCTCCACACGGGTGCAGGGTCACAAGACTTTGGGTCATCCTCTACTGTTTTCCCCAAGCCAAAAGCAGCGAGGTGGACGGGAAATGCAACAACCAGGACATGCATCAGTGCCCATGCAGGATCTGGGTCTTGCAAGGAGAGGATTTAGCCATTGAGCCATAATTCCAAACCCTATTTTTATTTGAAAGGCAGAGTAGAGAAAGAGGGAAGGAGGGAGTTAAGAGGGAGGAGGAAAGAGAGAGAGAATCTTCTATGCACTGGTTCCCTTTCCAAATGCCTGCAATAGCTAAGTCCGGACCAGGCTGAAGTCAGGAGTTTGGTTCCTCTTCCAAGTCTCCCCCAAGTGCAGGGACCCAAGCACTTTGGATATTTTCTGCTGCTTTCCCAGGTACACTAGCAGGGAGCTGGATGGGAAGTGGAGCAGCCGGATCTCTGACAGAAGAGCCCGTAGAAGCCGGCCCAGCAGAGGCTTAATCCGCCGTATCATAAAGCTTGCCTCACAATGTCTGCTTCGTGATTATTTACTGCCAAACCTGTCCCTCAGGTCTCCACATATTTCTGTCACTTTTAAGTAAATCTGTTTCTGTACTTAAATTTGGAAATTAGACTTCCAAGAGGAATACCGATGTATATTTGTCGACTATTTAAACTCCTCAAAGCACCCCAATGTTGCAAAGCGCATCGCTGTGGCTGAACTTGGTGCTCCGCTAGCAGCCCCGGCAATCCCTAGCAACCGAAACCGCTGCCTAGCAACGGTTCTCCCCCGGGCGGTGCTGGAAGCGAGGCTTGATGACGGAAGCAAACGGGATGGTGACTACGTTGCCGTGGGAACGTCGGGACCCCGGAAGTGACGCCAGGGGAACAGGAAGCAGAGCGGAGTGTGGGCCACGTGAGCCCGGCGTGAGTTTTTGGGTATCTGGAAGTCAAACCTTCCCCTCCGGTCAACATGGGCCGCTCGGGGAAGCTGCCCTCCGGGGTCTCGGCCAAGTTGAAGCGCTGGAAGAAGGGTCACAGCAGCGACAGTAACCCCACCATCTCTCGCCACCGGCAAGCAGCCCGCAGCCGCTTCTTCAGCCGGCCGTCAGGTAGCGGGGCGGCGGGTGCGGGCCCGGACGGAGCGGGTCCTGCTTCGGACACGCGGCCCATCGGCCCGGGCAGCGGCCACGCGGGCAGCGGCCACCGTGACACGGAGGGGCCCTTCTCCCTGGCCGCAGCTCCGACCTCCGCGTCCGTCCCGGGTGGGTTGTCCGTCCGCGGAGCTGGAGCCCCGTGCCTTGTGCTCTCGGTTCGCAGGTAGGAGCGACCTGACGGTTGATGCTGTAAAGCTGCACAATGAGCTGCAGTCGGGCTCCCTGCGCCTGGGCAAGGGAGGGGCCCCGGAGACGGCCATGGAAGAGGAGGCCGAACTGGCCGCCACCGAGAGGTCCTCGGCCACCTTCCTGAGCGGCCTCTCGGACTGCACGAACGTCACCTTCAGCAAGGTGCAGCGCTTCTGGGAGTCCAACTCGGCGGCCCACAAGGAGGTAGGTAGGGCGGCTCGCAGGGCTGTGGGCAGCGAGGCTGGTGCCCGGGGAGGTGGGGCGGCCTGTGGGGTTGTGGGCAGTAAGGCTGATCATCGGGAGGTGTGGACACTCTGGTTGACAGCTGTTGGTGACAGCAGGTGGTGTTTCTGCGTGCTGTGTCATCTTTCCTTCATTAACCTCCTGAGCTACAACACTGGTCCTGTGAAGTATTCCTTTTTTTTTTCAAGATTCATTTTTATCGGAAAGGTGGATATACAGAGAGGAGGAGAGACAGAGAGGAAGATCTGTTTGATGGTTTACTCCCCAAGTGAGCACAATGGCCAGTGCTGTGCCAATGCAAAGCTGGGAGCCAGGAGCTCTTCCGGGTCTCCCACGTGGGTGCAGGGTCCTAAGGTTTTGGGCCATCCTTGACTGCACTCCCAGACCACGAGCAGGGAGCTGGATGGGAAGTGGGGCCACCGGGATTAGAACCTGTGCCCATTTGGGATCCTGGTGCGTGCAAGGCAAGGACTTTAACCACTACGCTGTCGCACTGGCCCGATTATGTTATGTCCACTGTTTTGCAACTTTATCCCCACTGGAAAGCATTTCAGAGTTGATGGGTGAACCCAGACACACTCCTTCATTCTCTGTTACTGCGTAGTACTTACATGTGTCATGTACTCCAAGGTATCCCCTGGCGACTGGCTGTTAGTGAATAAGCTTGTATGTTCGTGCAAGTGGCTTTTTGAGAAACTGTCTTTAATGTAGTCTTAGCAGACATGCTGTGTGTTGTATTGTGTCGGCTGGCCCTGTCAGGTCCTGACCTAGAGCGCCACTCCGCTGGTGGGTCCCTGGGCTTTATCAGGTTGATTGTGAAGGGGCGAGCCCAGAGGGCCTCCTGGGGCAGAGTGGGCCCGGGATGCATCTTGGGGGCTTTCTCCTCCCGTGCAGATCTGTGCTGTGCTGGCCGCCGTCACGGAGGTGATTCGTTCCCAGGGAGGGAAGGAGACAGAGACGGAGTACTTTGCAGCTCTGGTGAGTGGGTGCAGCCGGTGTGGGGAGAGCAGTGCTCAGAGCAGCAGATTATCCAGCTGCAGAGTCCCTGGCAGGGAGGGCTAGCCCTGAGCAGATTATCCAGCTGCAGAGTCCCTGGCAGGGAGGGCTAGCCCTGAGCAGGTGGACACACTGCAGTCATTCGTTCTGGGGGCTCTTCAAGGCTGGCAGTGTTTGCTGCAGTGTTCCTGTAATGCAAAAACCCAGCGCTCTTGTATGTTTTTGGTGTAAGAATTAGTTGTGATTGCCAACAAAGCAAATATCTGCCTAGAAATATAACCTAGAAACAGCACGTACTCAGTGCGGAATTCTGTATAATTCCCAAAGGTATAAAAGTTTGAAAACTGCTGCTGTAGAACAGGGACTTGGCTGGCAGACTTTGCCCAAAGTACAATTTTTCCAACTTGGGAGCTACAAATGGTTTTTCTTTCTTTCTTTTTTTTTTTTTTTTTTCTAAGATTCATTTTTATATATATTGGGAAGTCAGATATACAGAAAGAAGAAGAGACAGACAGGAAGATCTTCCATCTGCTGGTTCACTCCCCAAGTGACCATAATGTCTGGAGCTGAGCAGATCTGAAGGCAGGAGCCAGGAGCCTCTTCTGGGTCTCCCACACTGTGCAGGGTCCCAAGGCTTTGGGCTGTTCTTGACTGCTTTCCCAGCCACAGGCAGGGAGCTGGATGGGAAACGGGGTGCACCACTTTGACATGAACTGACACCTATATGGGATCCTAGTGCATGCAAGGCAATGCCTTTAGCCACTAGGCTACTGTGCTGGGCTCAGTTTTTCCATTTTTAAAGCTTGAAACATACACAGAGCCATATACAGCATTGGGCTCAGGCATGGGCTGGTTGGTCCTTTATTGAGTTTGCCACCTCCGCTCCAGAGAAATTAATATTGAGAGGTTGGTGGTTTGCAATTTTTTTGTTTTTGTTTCTGTATTTCACTTTTTTTCTTTTTTTTTTTTTTTTTTTTTGAATTTGAGAATCAGAGAGAGGAAGAGACAGAAATCTTCCATCTGCTGATTCACTACTGAAATGGGTGCAATAGCCAGAGCTGGGCCTTTTGGAAGCCAGGAGATGCATTTGTGTCTCCCACGTGGGTGCAGGGTCCCCGCATGGAGACCCTGGTCTCAAGGAATTGGGCCATCCTCCATTGCCTTCTCTGATGCTTTAGTAGGGAGGTGGATCAGAAGTGGAGCAGCTGGGACTTGAACCAGTGCCCAGCTGGAATACCACCATTGCGGCAGCTTTACCCACATGCACAGTGTGGGCCTTCTGTTTTGTTTGTTTTCTCTAAGTATTTTACATTTATTGATTCAGTTAGGCCTCACAACAGCTTTATGAGATATGTGGCAGTAGGTTATGAATGAAGAAGCTGATTCATACAGTGAAGTTAAGAAGCCCAACATGGCAGAGTGGCAGAGGTGGGACTTGAACCCTGGTCGTAGGCACTCTCCTGGGCTTGTGGCTCTCCCTTTCCTCCTTTCCATGCCCAGCATGACCTTCTGTTCACTCTCACCCGTTTTGATCCTCAGATGACCACGCTGGAGGCAGTGGCAACTCCGGAGTCCTTAGCCGCCGTGGCGTACTTGCTGAACCTCGTGCTGAAGCGGTGAGTCCCCGGGATTCCTGCAGTGGCCTCAGCTCTCTTTGCAGAGGGGAGGAGGGACTGTGCATGGAATGGGCAAAGCCTGGGAATTAGGTCTTCAAAGAGACTTGATTTGATTTTAAAAACCGTGTTATGAGGGAGAGCGAATGTATTCTCCCATTGGTAGTTACTCCCCAGACGACCTCAGTAGGTGGGAGCTGGGCTAATGCAGAACTTAGGAGCCAGGAATTCAACCCAGGTTTCCCATACAGGGACCCCCAGTGACTTGGACTGTCACTGTTGCCTCCTGGTCTGCATGGGAGGGCGGCTGCCATCAGGAGCCAGGGCTGGGCTCTGAATCCCACGTTGCATATGTCTCAGCTGTTGGGCTGAATTCCCACAAAAGACACTTGATTTTTTTAAACCTCTTATTTTTAGTTTAGTTTTTTTAAAAAATCATTCACTGTTGTTTTTAGATAGAATTCTGTGATACTTGAGTTTTACAAGATTAAGTTCGAAAGATTGGTTCTACAACATTATGTATATGCGTATATTACTACTGAACTGTATCCTTAAAATTGGTTAAGATGGTACAGCTTATGTTGTGTATTTTGCCATAATCCAAATAGAGTTATGTCCAGTGGTGTTGTACAATATCAGGCTCTGGGTTGGCTGGAGCCGTGATACCATAGAGTATGATGTTGGTGCTGGGGAAGAGCAGCCCAAGAGCAGAAAGCAGGGCAGGGGAAGGGCTGGCAGGTTGGCACCAGTTGGGGTGCTTGCTGTTGGAAGAGGGAGGCTGGGCCCTGTGGTGAGAAGGGAGGCCAGGTATGTGAGGGCCCCGCTTGTGGCTGGTGCCAGGTCAGCAGTGGAGCGGGTGCAGGAGGTCGAGGTGAGAAGGTCAGGTGGGAGTTCCTTACGCTCTGAAGGAGGTGTCAGGAACAGGGAGCTCTGGTCCCAGGTCCTTTCTTACCTGCTGAGTAGCTGGGCCAGCAGTGCCCTACCTTGCCAGCTTCTTGTGCATCCCAGGGAACTGCACCAGCTGCTCTGAAGGTGCCTCGGGGTGACCTCTCACGTCTCTCCCCAGGGTGCCCAGTCCTGTGCTCATTAAGAAGTTCTCTGATACCTCCAAAGCCTTCATGGATATCCTGTCAGCCCAGGCCAGCAGCGGCGCCTCCTCTGCTCTGCGATGGGTTAGTGTCTGGTGCCCAGAGCTCAGCTGTCTTGGGTAAAGCTTGTGCTCCTGGGTGGGAGGGAGTAAGGCCCTCTGTGTACCCTCAGGTACACTCTTTGGGGTTTCCTGGGGTTGGTGATAGTGCTTTCTCCCCTGCCATACCCCTCCTGAGGCAGAGGTTGCTTGGGCTGAGGGCCTCGGGCTTGCTTCTTTAAGGTCCTGTCCTGTCTGGCAACCCTTCTGCGGAAGCAAAACCTAGAGGCCTGGAGCTACCCTGTGACCCTCCAGGTATACCATGGACTCCTGAGTTTCACCGTGCACCCCAAGCCCAAGGTGAGTGTGCAGGATCCTTAGGACGTAGACGGGGAGCAGAGGCACCCATGGGCTCTCAGCTGGGTGGGTGGGAGGAGGTGTGCGTCGCATGGACCTGTACTAAAGGTTGGTGTCTCCTGGAGCATATTGTCTTGCGTCTGTGGACCTTTGCTTCTTGTGTGCCTGGGAGGGATGGGGGACACCCCTGGCTGCAGGTAAGCTGGGACTCTTGTCTTCCTCACAGACCCACTGTACTTCCCATGCTGGTGGGGAAGCTGTGGGTGGTAGTGGCCACTCTTTACCCTGGAAATGGAGGACAAGGGGAACAGCAGTCATAGTCACTACTTGTGCTGAACACCAGCATCCCAAATGGCCCCCCAACTCCTCCCCTGTGCGTTCCTGTGGTCTTTGTTCTCCTTCAGGCCTGGGCCAGCATGACACCTTACTGCAGTGGGGTCCCTGGGCTGAGGCCCCGATCCTCGAGGATGAAGTGGCTGAGTTGGTAGGGCTTAAGGACCCCACTTAGATCCCATGTCCCTGTATGAAAGGCTTGAGAGTGCTCTGGATTTCAGAGTAATGTGGAGTATTTGCATAGCTGGTACTGACTGAGCATCATTACTGTGAAACCTGAGGCACCGTGAAGTCCTTCTGAGCGTGCTGTCGACCCTCAGAGGTTCAGACTTTGAAATTTTGGAGATTTTGGGTTTCTAGATTAGGTGTGTTCAGCCTCCAGCAGAGTCAGGATTTGAACTGAACTTTGTCTGGCTCCCCAACTCAGGCCTCCGTCTGCACAAAAATGCTGGCCTGCCATTGGGTATGGCGTAGGTGCTCTGCTGAAGCTTGTTGGTGGGTGTACCGAGCACCCAAGGTGCCAGCCTGGTGCTGATCTGTGTGTCCCTGCCCTGCCTCCTAGATCCGGAAGGCTGCCCAGCATGGCGTGTGCTCGGTCCTCAAGGGCAGTGAGTTCATGTTTGGCGAAAAGGCCCCTGCCCATCATCCTGCTGCCGTTTCCACCGCCAAATTCTGCATCCAGGAGATTGAGAAGTCTGGAGGTACGAAGGGCAGACTGGGAGCAGGTGGCTGGGAGACTGCTGCGGCCGCAGAGGGGCTGCTGTCTGACCTGCTGTCTTCGCCTGCCAGGCACCAAGGAGGCCACCACCACGCTGCACATGCTGACGCTGTTGAAGGACTTGTTGGCCTGCTTCCCAGAAGGCCTGGTGAAGAGCTGCAGTGAGACTCTCCTCCGAGTCATGACCTTGAGCCATGTGGTGAGTCTGGGCCCGAGATACCAAACAGGGTTGGAGGTTTCCCTGCCAGCACAGGGACATCCTCAGTTAGCAGCTGACCTCAGAGAGCTGTGATGGGGTGGTGCAGTACTGGGCAACCCCCCCAGCCGTGCTGTGGCCAGATTTAGTTATTTCTGCCTGATAGCTGGCTTTCTTACCTGCCACTTTAGTGCAATACTTTCAGAAGCACATTAAAAATGATTGGCTGCTCTCTCACCATCCTTCCAAAATTCTGTTAGTCCTTGTATGTTCTTTTATCATGTTCACATACGCTCAGAAATTTTTATTGTATAAGCAGTATGATCTCTGTGTAAGAGGAGGAAACTATTTAGAAACATGAAGTGAAACATCTCTTTTGCTCTGAGTCTTGTGTGTAGTAAACAGTGCTGGCAGCTTGCTGCGAGTCTTCAGGCCTGTTGGCTCTGGATCACACATATACGTGAAACTATGGGCTAGCACAACTTGCACATGTGGCTGGCCTTTTTAACCATTGTGTCAAAAACATTTGTTGAAGTCATATAAAGATTTTTTCCTAGGAGCTGCATCATCTTACTAAGTTGATAGTTCTCAGAGCATCTGGGTTGGAAGTGCAGTGTTTGAGGTTCAGGAACCCAGGCAGCCCTGGGCTTTGTGGGTCCCCTCTAAGCCTGTGTGTCCCTTCCAGCTGGTGACTGCATGTGCCATGCAGGCATTCCACAGCCTCTTCCATGCCAAGCCAGGCCCAGGCACCCTGTCGGCGGAACTCAATGCCCAGATCGTCACGGTGAGGCCTGCTGCTTGGCAGGGTGGGTGTGTGGGTGGCAGGGTGGGGTGCATGGGTGGCTGTGTCGGGGACTGTGCTTTCCTCATCTGCAAAGAAGGGGTGAATCGGCTCCCTGACTGGAGGGGGTTTCAGACAGTTGGAAGACCAGATGCCAGGATTGCTTTAGTGTCTGTGGGAGCTGGGGCCCTGGCTCTTTCTGGAATAAAATGTTTCAGCAGTCTCCAGATAGTCACAGCTTGAGCAGGGCTCCCAGCCTTGTAGCTCTGTGGATAGAGTTTGAAAGAGGGCCACAGACCACCTCCCCAGGATGTTTCCAGGTTATATGTATGTGGTCACGTGTGACCTGTTACCCTCCCCGAACCTAGAGGCTGTTCTTCCAGAAAAATAGAACTGGGAGAATGCTATGGAGCTGGGGAAGATAGGACCTGGCTCCAAGGACTGTGAGTCCCTAGAGGTGTAAGGGGTCATGGTTGTTGAGGCTGCTGCCGGCTGCACATGCTTACTTCCTGTCTTACCTCTAGGCCTTGTATGACTACGTTCCTAGTGAGAATGACTTACAGCCGCTGTTGGCCTGGCTTAAGGTCATGGAGCAAGCCCACATCAACCTTGTCAGGTAGGAAGAGAAGTGGCATCCCGGGGCCTCCCTCTAGGTTGTCTGTTCTGTGCTGTGTCAGGGAAGTCTTGCAAGGTGGCCGCAGAACAGCTGTCCATGGAGCAGGCGTAGGGTGAGGCACACCGGCTCATTGCAGGGAGCAGCTTTGTAGTTCAGGAACAGAGTCTTTGGGTCAGGGATGGAGTTCCAGTTCCTCTCTCCTTCCTCCCTGGCTGTGTCATTCCCAGCTCCTGGTTCCCTTGCTGGGGAAGATTGTCCACTTTTTCAGCTCTGCTCCATTCTCCATTTCCTTCCTTCATCCCCCATCCAGATCAGTGACTCCTGCTTGATGTCATTGCATTCCTTCAGGGGTGGGGGCTGGGCACGAAAGAGTAGCCGTTTGCAAAGTTCCACTTTGCCAGAACAAGGCTGGGAGGAATGGCATATTATGTATGGTGATCAGATGATGGGCCACGTTGGCACATTTTGCGTGGAACAAGGGCCTGTAAACCCTGAGAATCCACCATGCTGTGTCTGTTCTCCCCTTGGTAAAGACTGCCAACTCTGCTCTGGCCCAAGCACCTGCCCACTGCTCTGCTTGGCGTGTCTCTCACTCATCACAGCTGGGCACAAGCGGAGACAAAGCCCTGCTTCATAGGCAGCAGCTTTGAGCTGACCATGCAGCTGCTGAGGAGCCAGGCTCCATGTCCTGCCCGGGTTGGCCGGCCCCACGGTCCTTTTCCTACACCAAACTGTTTTTCACCTGGAGACAATTAGAAGAAAATAGCAAAGATGCCTTATCCACTCTCCTGCAAGGGCTCGCCCCCGGCAGTGTCCAGGCTGCGTCCTAGGAGGCTGTGTCCTAGGAGGCTGCGTCTTAGGAGGCTGCTTGTAGCTTCATAGCTGGTGGCAAGCACATTAGAACGCAGTGCTGTGCAGCCACAAGGAATTGTTTAGATGTGTTTGTTCCTATGGAAAGCAAAGCCAGAAGCGGAGCAGGAGGTGTGGTGGGATTGGTTGTTTATGTACTCTAACCAGGAGGCCCTGGTATGGACCCTGACCCCACTGCAGTAGGCTGTGTGGCTTTGGGTGCCTTATTTGACTGTATTTGTTTTCCTGTCTCTAAAATGGGAATTGTCATAGGATTTGTTTCGTTGTTATGAAGTTGCAGTGGATTCGTGGGTAATGTTTTATCACTGGCTGGTATGTAATATGTGACAGGTTAGCAATTGATGCCATCTTATGTAGGTGTAGAAAAGCCAGGAGGAATACGATAAACGCCTGACGTTGACTGTCCCTGGGAAGTGCAGGCGAGGGTCCAGCTGGCAGAAGGCTTGCCCTATGCCCTGTACCCCGCATCCCGCAGGCTGTGTAAATGATTGGCCATGTGTGGTTACTGTGTGAAGGATGGTGCCTTTTGAAAACCACCCATGAATAGGGCCTCTTAGAGCCCCACAGGATAGTGGTGTCTCTGAACTGGAGCTGTTTGCAGGTTGAGCCCCAGCCTCAAGGCCGGGCCCCATGGGTATATTTTGTCTTGACAGGTTGCAGCGGGACCTGGGGCTGGGCCATCTCCCTCGCTTTTTTGGAACGGCCATGACCTGCCTCCTCTCCCCACACTCGCAGGTGGTGGTGGCTGCCACCCAGAGTCTCAAGGTACTGCAGATTTCTAGCCCCAGCTGGGGTCCAGGAGGCAGAGGGCAAGGGAGTCGTGCCTGCTGCCCTGTCTGGTTGGAACCTGCACTCGTCCCACTACCTACTCACGACTGGGAAGAGACCCTAGCACTGGGAGACTGGCTCCTCGGAAACTCCATGAAGCAGTCACTGAAGGAGCAGCTGGGGTCTGATTAGGGGGTTGCCTTGGGTGCAGACAGCCTGTGACCTCTTTTTGTAGGAGCTCCTGAAGGAATGTGTGGCTCCCCACATGGCTGATATTGGCTCTGTGACAGGCTCAGCTTCAGGCCCCGCCCAATATGTCGCCAAGATGTTCAGGTAAGGACATGGTGTCCACATTAGGAGGGTGATTGGAAGGCATGGACTTAGGAAGCCCAGTGTGGAATCTTCATTCTGTTGCCTGCACCCTCACTTGGAGTCATAACTCCCAGTATCGAGGTGTTGGCCATTGATTTTTCCTGGCTGGGGTACAAGGTGGCCCTGGTACCATGGCCCTGACTGTACTTTCTTCCTTGACAGGGCAGCGGAGGAGGGCCTGACATACAAATTTCATGCGGCTTGGAGTTCCGTGTTGCAGCTGTTGTGTGTCTTCTTTGAGGCGTGTGGAAAACAGGCCCACCCTGTGATGAAGAAGGTGGGCTGGGATGCTGCTGGCCTGACCTTGAATGGGGGCAGCTCCTGGTCAGGGCATGTCTAATGTCTGTTGGCTCTGCACTCTTCTCCTCCCCTGCACCCTCATAGCAGCCCCAGCAGGTGCCCAGTTCAGTCCCAGGGAGGTGATGGGCCAGTGTGGAATGACTAGCAAGAGGGATATCAGGTCCCCTCTGGCATCAGCTGCTAGCCTTTATGGGAGCTGATGGTTTTTAAACTTAGATAGAGAACCCATGTAATTCCCCATCTTTCTTCCCTTATTAGCTTTTAATCTTTGAGATTTTCTGTAACAGCTGACAGAGTTGATGTTTTAAGTAGTCTTGGGTCCTGGAGGAGTTACCCAGCCAGAGTAGACCATTAAGGATCAGGGGTTTCCCAGGGATCCTGAGCAGGCCCCAGATTGTTGTCAGAAGGGAGAATAGCTCCTGGCCTCCTAGGGGCTTCCTTGCGGGCCTCCTGCCTTTACTGGGTGGCATAAGGAGCCAGCCAGGGCAGTGTGCAGCAGGAGTCCCAGCCTGGACCCTCTTAAGGCAAGTAGGTGATCCTGGCTTCTTGTAAGCTGAACAGTGCCACATGCAGCGGGTCTGGCATGGACTCTGGTGCACCCAAGGTTGCCACCTAGACTCTGCATTGCTGCCAGTTGTTCCTGGGGGTCTGCCTATGCCAGACCTTCCCCTTTCAGACTTAACTGGAGGTTACGTGTGCATGAGAAGTTTGCTGATTCTCACATATTGAGTGAAGCAGAGCCTGCTACAGTCCTGGCCCTTGGGGAGGAATGAGCTACTCAGTGGCTTCAGCAGGGTATTAGCTGTGCCCTGTGGTAGTGACTCTGTAAGGCTCTGTGCTGGGCAAGCAGGTCTTAGTGCACCCCCTCTCCTCTCCAATCTAGTGCCTTCAGTCCCTGTGTGACCTGCGCCTCTCCCCTCACTTCCCCCACATGGCAGCCCTTGACCAGGCCGTGGGGGCTGCGGTGACCAGCATGGGGCCCGAGGTGGTGTTGGAGGCCGTACCTCTGGAGATCGATGGTTCTGAGTAAGTGTGACCCCAGTTCGCTTCTTGATGTGCCCTGGCATCAGTTGGCTCATCCCTCCAGAAAACGTTGCTGATTCTCTGCACCACGCTGGGACGGGCCTGTGACTTGACACATCATGGGTCATGCTGCTGGGTGTGCTGCTTGGGAGCCGCTCTTACTCAAGTCCCTTCCCTCCCATCTCCCAGGGAGAGTCTGGATTTTCCGCGGAGCTGGCTGTTGCCTGTCATCCGGGACCACGTGCGGGAAACACGGCTGGGCTTCTTCACCAGCTACTTCTTGCCTCTGGCCACCACCCTGAAGAGTAAAGGTACAGAGCCCTCTGGGGTGCACCCAAGGGCCCCACAACTCCGCTGACCATCTGGGGAAGGGCTGTCACCCAGGGTTCCCATAAGCAGGCCATCCAACAGCTTCCCTCTGCGATGGAAGAGTTAAGTAGTTGTCACAGAAATCATAGTCTGCAAAACTTAGAAGGTGTTTCACAGGAACAGTTTGCTTATCGCTGCTCTAGGACAGGAGTTCTCAACAGAGGGAATGTTGGGGCCATGCTGGGCCATTTGGCAATGCCTGTGTCATCACTGCTGACAGCCCACATGGCCCATTGCCACCTGGCTAGAAGTGTGCTTAGTGGAAGATTGAGACACCTGCTTCCAGGCAGGGTTTCCTGGTGTCGTATGCTGCCTTTACAATGCACAAGGAGTCTTGAAAGGAGAGAGTCAGAAATCACTTTGGTCCCCCTGCCGCTCGAAGATGGTTGGCAGCATTTTACCGTATTTGCCTGTCTGATTTTTCCCTGTATGTAGAAATAGTAGTGTATTCATGCTAAGTTGTATAGTTTGTGTGGTTTTTTTTTAATGTGTTTATTTATTTGAAAGTCAGAATTACAGGAAATGGAGAGACAGAATCAGAGACAAATGGAGAGAAAACTAGATTGGCTGGTTCACTTCCTAAATGGCAACAGTGGCCAAGGTTGGGCCCGGCCAAACTCAGGAGCCAGAAACTTCATCCCACATGGGTGCAGTTGCCCAAACACTTGAACCATCCTCTGCTGCCTTCCCAGGCCATTTGGGGGGAAGTGGATTGGAAATGGAGCAGCTGGGTCTCAAACTGGGGCCCATGTGGAATTCTGGCACTGCAGCTGGTGGTCCAACTTGCTGTGCTACGGCACCAGCCCCACAGTTTGTATACTTGGTAATTTGGTAACTGATGGTGGAAAATATTCTCTACTGCAGATGAGAGAAATGCATGCCCATCAGGAAAACAAGCCCCATACTTGTGTCATGAACATCGTTGGCATCACCTAAAGCACTGGCAGTTTTTAAGGTTGCACTGTGTCCTCTTGGTCCTTGCAGCACTCCCTGTAGTTACCTAGTGGTGCTGATTTGATTAGGCCAATGCATGCTGCTCTATGTATGTATGTGGCTTGCTCTAGTGAAAAGTCTGAGATACCCTTCTTGCCTATCCATCCCTGAATCTCACTTGTCACATAGGGCCCAGCTTCTTGTCGGGGTCCGATATAGTCTCGGGGAGAGAGAGAGAGAGCGAGCGAGCGAGAGAGCATTTAGTCGGGTGGAGAGTCTATAGATGATGAGGTGGACAGACTTCAGGCAGGTGTGTAGTGCAGCAGGTGGTCTCTGGAACATTAGCATTCTCAGTGCGTTGTTTGAATGCTGGCTGTTCTGCTTCTGATTAAGCTTCCCGCTCATGTAGCTGGGAAAGCAGCAAAAGATGCCCCAAGTGTTTGTGTAGGGCCTTGCCACACGTGTGGTCAACTATGTGGAGTTGCTAGCTCCTGGATTCAGCTTTACCTAGCCCATGGCTGGTGCTGGGAGGAAGGTGAAAGAGTTGTGTGATTCTGAATGGCTTTAAAATAAAAATGAAATAAATTTTTGAAGGTGTAGAAAGTTGCGTGTATCTGGAGCCACTCCTGGGGTGGTCAGAGTGTGGAGGGATCTTCTCCGTGCCCCCATTCCCACTTGAGCAGAGATATTCCTGGGGTGGGACGGGGCGTGGGGCACGGGGTGTGTCTAGCAGAAGTCCTGCAAATTTACCCAGGAATGACTGGGGAACGCCTAAAGATCATGACTGTCCTTCCTCTCCCAAGACGTCTTAGCAGTTCTTCCTGGAGAGGCTTTGTAAGCATGGTGGGGAGGGAGGAACGGGGGCCCCGGTGACCCTTTTTGGGTTGGAGTCTCAGCACTGCCACTTGCGGGCTATACGACCTTAGCTAAGTTATTCACTGCCTGCTTTGGAATCTTGTTCTGCCCTGCCCTGTGCCTTCACTCCCCAAATGCCCACGGCAGCCTGGACTGGGCCAAGCTGCAGCTAGGAACTTGGGATATCACTGGGTTTCTGTGTGAATGGCAGAGACCCAAGTGCTTAAGCCGTTTTCTGTCACCCCACACGCTGGCAAACAGGAAGCTAGATGGCAAGTGGAGTAGCCAGTACTCCAACCTGTGCTTTGATGTGGGATGCTGGTGCCACAGGTGGTGGTTTAAACCTGCGACAAGACAACCTCTGCCTGTTTCCTACAGGTCTGTCTGAGGTTTTTAGAGTGAATGGTATTGTGCAGTCACTCAGCTTCCTGTCTCTATCACTGGGTTTGATTTTGGTAAATGAGGCCAGTTGGCCAGGAGGGCGCCCGGAGTCATTTTGTGTCTTTATCTCCCTCTCTAGCAATGGAACTAGCCCAGGCAGGCAGCACAGTGGAGTCCAAGATCTACGACACACTGCAGTGGCAGGTGAGGGTCAGCTTGGGGAGCAGGTGGAGCCAGAGTGCTAGGGACACCTCTTATCATCTTTCCCCTTCCCAACCCAGATCTGGACCCTCCTGCCTGGTTTCTGCACCAGACCCACAGATGTGGCCTCCTCCTTCCGAGGGCTTGCGCGGACACTAGGCATGGCCATCAGCGAGCGCCCAGACCTGAGAGTCACCGTGTGCCAGGCCCTGCGCACCCTCATCACCAAGGGCTGTGAGGCTGGTGTGTGGGCTTGGGGCAGGGTTGGTTGGGATTGGCAGGGATCGTGGATGACATGGGACACTAGCCACTGTGGCTCTGCTTGCTGTTCCTGCTGGGGACCTAGAGTCAGCAGAGGCCAGCACTGGCCCATCCACTCCATTTCCTCCTGGTCTGCTGACTGCCATCTGTGGTTGCTGTGGGAGGCTGTGCTGTGTGACTGGACTTGGTTGGCCCCTGGGACAGGAGCCCTGGATGGCCCAGTCCACTGTGGCAGCTTGTGCTCCGTGCCCTGCTCTCAGCCTCTCAGTTTCACACTCTGCCCTTGGGCTGCTCTGAGAGGCGACATCCCCAGCTCCCGCACCTTACATTCAAACTTTGGTCCTCCTGCCAGAGGCCGACCGTGCTGAAGTGAGCCGCTTTGCCAAGAACTTTCTGCCGATCCTCTTCAACCTCTACGGGCAACCTGTGGCTGACGGGGATAGCCCAGCCCCTCGCCGAGCTGTGCTGGAAACCGTCAAAACATACCTCACCATCACCGAGTCCCAGGTGAGCTGATGGATGGTACCATCATCCCAGGAGGACTTCTTGGGCGGGAAGGGCCAGGAGCCCACCTAGCAGCACTCTGCGTCTCTACTACCTGGAGAACAGGGAGCTGCCTTCCGGGGCTGGGGCTGGGCTGGGGCTGGGCTGGGGCTGGGCTGGGGCTGAGCTTGGGCCAGGATAGGGCTTCTGAACACTGGGGCGACACCTGAGGGACCTACCAGCCCTGCCCCTGGGATTTCCCTTTCATCCTTACTGCCTTTCTCTTGTCCTTATGGGGCTGCCAGTTGGTGAATGGGTTCCTGGAGAAGGCTAGTGAGAAGGTACTTGACCCTACCAGCTCTGACTTCACCAGGTAACACTTTGGACCTTCCCCACCTGAGCCAGAACAGCCCAGGGGGTTGAGACCCTGTGGGGAGGTTTGTAAAGCGGGAGCCTTGTGGATTTACTAGAGTTCCTGGTGGTATACTGAGTGTCCCTCCTCTCCCAGAACCCTGACCAGTTCTTTCCCCCTGGAGAGGCCTTTTACTCCTCGTGGGGAAGGACAGAGATCCTGGATATGCTGCCTGGGTAAAAGCTGTGCGACCTTGAACAAGTTACTTAGCCTCTCTGTGCCTCTGAATCCTCTGTAAAGTGGCTATGACAGTGATCCCTGCCTCACGGCTGCTTTGAGGATGGAGAAGCCCCTGTTGATGCAGCAGCCGCAGGAGGAGCAGCCAGCGCATTCCAGGGCTCCTCTAGGTGGCAGCTGGATTGTGGCTGCCCTTACCCCGAGTTCACCTTCCCCACCTGGCCCACAAGAACACTGAAAATCAGGACCCTCTGCATCCCTCTCAGTCCCTCCTCCTCGAACCTGAGCAGGTTGTCTGTCCTGGACCTGGTCGTGGCCTTGGCTCCTCATGCAGATGAAGCAGCCATCAGCAAGCTGTACACCACCATCCGGCCTTACTTAGAGGTGAGCTTTGGAGACCGGCTGCCTCCACATCCACACCCCTGGCCCTGGGGCTCCTGGCAAGATATACTCTTGGGTTCATGCCCTGCTGCTGCCCAAGGTCAGGGCCCCGACTGCCTTCTCCTGCATGACACTGCCTTCCACTCTGCGGCCCATCCCATGGGTGCTCGAGTGTGCTCACAGCGTACCTGCTAAAGTGTTTTTTGTAAAGCTGAGGTCATGCACCTTTACCTGGCCTGCTTACTTGGCCCTCCCAAACAGGCTGTCCTTCATCACTTCCTGCCTTGTTAGCCAGCTAGAATAGGCCCTGTTGGCACTTTGGAAAATGCTAGGCTCCCAATTACCATGTTGAACTTGCCTCCTGAAACCTGTTCCCACTGCTATAGTTTAATCACTGTTGCCTAAGAGTGAGTCATGCTCTTGGCTGGCACATGCAATTGGACAGAAGTGGTGCATGGCAGTGGGTGGGGGCTGGGATATAGGAGGGGAATGAAGAGGACTGCAGTGAATAAGGCTGGGTGTGCAGGCCTGACACTGGCCACCATGAGCTGTGCTGCTGGAGTCAACCTCATTGAGTGATGGGGAGAGGGAGGGTTTGGAGGGCTGGGTCAGCTTCAGGTCCACCAGGTTCCTGTGCCTGGCACAGGAGTTGGCCTCCTGCCAATCATATGTGCTCATCTGACCTGAGCTCCAGTAAGCAAGGGCCAGCTCCTCCGAATCCTTGTGGTCAGCTACAGTACACAGTGATGCTCTGTGGAAGCCAGCATCAGGTTGGGGGTGGTACCCAGTTGCCATCCCTGCCCAGCCTTGCCTCCCTCATCCTCTCAGAGCAAGGCACATGGGGTGCAGAAGAAGGCCTACCGTGTGCTGGAGGAGGTATGTGCCTGCCCCCAGGGCCCGGGGGCCCGCTTTGTGCAGAGCCACCTGGGCGACCTGAAGAAGACTCTACTGGACTCACTGCGCAGCACGGCCTCCCCTGCCAAGCGGGTGAGGGCTGTGGGCCCCTGGGGGAGGAGCCGCTTGCCAGGCTGAGGGGAGGCAGGGGTGGTGCCCAGGGCTCCTGACCACTGCTGCTCGCCCACCTGCAGCCCCGCCTGAAGTGCCTCATACATATTGTGAAGCAACTGTCAGCCGAGCATGAGGAGTTCATCGCTGCCCTCGTGCCGGAGGTGAGGGGGTCCCAGGGTGGCTTCCAAGAGCCCATTGGCGTGCCGAGAAGGCTTAGCTGGGTTGGGGCAGGGTGTGGTTCGACTTCACTGCCCAGGTGCCTGCTCTTATGCCCGGCAGCCAAGCTTGTGGCTGCTGGCTGAGGGAGCCTGCACTGATAGGGCTCTTCGGACAGGTGATCCTATGCACCAAGGAGGTGTCTGTGGGTGCGCGAAAGAACGCCTTCGCTCTGCTGGTGGAGATGGGCCATGCTTTCCTGCGGTTTGGCTCCAACCAGGAAGGTGAGCCTGGGGGATGCAGGCCAGGTGTGCACATGAAAAGCTGGAGAGAGCTCTCCACCCTGGCCCCGGGCAGGACGCTCCTGTGGAGCCCACAGTCACCTTCCCTGACCTCACCCAGCTGGTTTCTGTCCCCAGAGGCCCTGCAGCGCTACCTTGTCCTCATCTACCCTGGCCTCGTGGGCGCAGTGACCATGGTCAGCTGCAGCATCCTGGCCCTGACCCACCTCCTCTTTGAGTTTAAAGGTAAATATTTTCCTTCCTTGAAGTCAGGACAGGGTGTCTCCCAGAGCAGAAGGAGAGGTGCCAGGAGGGAGGAAGAACCAGAGCCAGCCCTGCCCACTTTGCTGTCTCCTCCCCTGCCCAGCTCTGCCTCCTGCCCTGGCAGCTGTGCCAAGGCTGCCTGCTTGCACCTGCCCTGCCACATAGCCCTATGTGCCCTCATTAAAGTAACTAAGAGCCACAGGGGCTGACATATGTCCTCTTGTCAGCCATGTGTAACCTTGAGCAGCTTTCTTCATCTGGCTCCTTCAACATCTCGTCTCTTAAATGTCGAGGAGGAATAACAGCTACCTCCCAGGAGGGCAGAAAGACAAGAGGCTGCTCCGTAGAGCATGCTTGCAACTGTGCCAGGCACACAGGAAATCTCCCAGATGTCAGCTTCTACCCCTGTTTGACCTGGCAGGGCAGGTGGCAGCTGCGCTTGCCTAGAGGGGGCTTTGGGGCTGGGTAGGGCCCCGGGTGTTTCTGCCAGTGGCCCCTTGGCACCACAGGTCTGCTGGGGACCAGCACGGTGCAGCAGCTGCTACAGAACGTGTGCCTGCTCCTGGCCTCCCGTACCCGCGACGTGGTCAAGTCTGCGCTGGGCTTCATCAAAGTGGCTGTGGTCGTCATGGATGTTGCACACATGTCCAAGCATGTGCAGCTGGTGGTGAGCAGCCTCTTGCCTGCAGTGGAACGGCTAGAGCAGTGACCTGTCGGGGGCCTGTCCAATGATAGTGCGACTACAGCCGAGAGCTGCCTCCTGTACACTTAACCCACACTAGGCAGGTGGAGGCTGAAGGCAGTCCAGGCCAAGCACAGGGATCAGAGCATAGGGAACTCCGAGAAATGCAGTGGTGTTGAATGAAGTAGGAATTGTGGAACAAGACAGGGCTGGGTGGGACTCTAAGCTGTGGAGCCGCCATGTAAGCCTCTGTGCCTGCTGCCTTGTCTGTAGTTGTGGGGACAGGGGAGGAAGTCCCGTCTCACTGGGCCAGTCTCAGGAGTCTGAGCACAAACGTGAGGTGTCAACATGTGCATAAAACAGAATCTTGGATTTCGGGGAAGGGCGGGGTTGTCTGGGTTCTGGAAGCCTGATCGGGCCAGCAGCAGGCACTTCTAACCCTCTCTTCAGCTGGGACTGGCTGCAGGCCAGGAGAGGTTGCCTGGATTGGGCTGCCATCTCCCTGAGACCTGGTGCTCTGCCCACAGCTGGAGGCCATCGGGCAGCTTTCCGATGACATGCGGCGGCACTTCCGCACCAAGCTCCGGAACCTGTTCACCAAGTTCATCCGCAAGTTTGGGTCTGTGCGCAGTGTGGGGCAGGGCAGGCCGGGGCTGAAGCATTCCCATTCTGGACAGCTCTCCCCTTGGGCTGGTGGCCCTCTCAGTAGCTTTTTCTCTGCCATTTACAGGTTTGAGCTGGTGAAGGGGCTGCTGCCCGAGGAGTACCACCGAGTCTTGGTCAATATCAAGAAGGCTGAGGCCCGGGCCAAGAGGCACCGAGCCCTGAGCCAGGCTGCTGAGGAGGAGGAGGAAGAGGAGGAGGAAGAGCCTGCCCAGGGCAAAGGTGACAGGTGAGACCATGGCAACATCCTGGGGACCTGGTCTTCCCAAACCCAAAGTCAGTCGCTACCTTTTCTGGAGTGCTCTGACCTAAAACCTGTCCATCTCAGCATTGAGGAGATTCTGGCCGACTCGGAGGATGAGGACAATGAGGAAGAGGAAAGAAGCAGGGGCAAGGAGCAGCGGAAGCTGGCCCGGCAGAGGAGCCGGGCGTGGCTGAAGGAAGGTGGTGGGGACGAGCCCCTCAACTTCCTGGATCCCAAGGTGGCCCAGCGAGTTTTAGGTAAGCAGGAAGTGGCAGGCCTAGGAGCTTGACAGACACACCAGCCTTGGCACCTGTTGTTGGTGAGGGATGGAGCTCCCAAGCCGGCTCCTGGTCTGGGGCTTAGGGGCTCCCATTTGGGCTTGCAGACTTAGGTTTGCTGGTTCTGGTGGGGGAGGGAGTAGGTCAGGACTGGCATTCTATAGCAAACCCTGCCTCACCAGCCACACAACCTGGGCCCGAACGGGGGAAGAGGAAGGACCATGGCTTCAAGGTGAGCGCCGATGGCCGACTCATCATCAGGGACGAGGAGGACAGCGAGAAGGTAGAAGAAGAGGAGGGTGCCAGAGGTGAGCTTGTCTCCCAGGTTGGGCACACAGCGGCTTCTGGCCTGGACCACACCTGTTCCATCATTTAACCATGTTTAGCCATTCACTCAGTAAGCTTTTGTTGAGGAAACTAGGTAAAAACAGAGAGGGCATTATACCTGAGGCAGGTCTCTCCTAGCCAGGGACTAGCCAGGCTCAGCTCTGTGCATCTTCAAGATAGGGTGAGGTTGGGCCATTCAGGGCAGTGTGGCCACAGGAGGCTGATCCCTCACTGTTTGAGTTCATTAAAGAAGTTTGTTTTACATTCAGCCAAGCCATTCCATTGTAAGACTCAAGACTTCTTAAGATTTATTTGGTTTTGTTGGAAAGGCAGATACACAAAGAGAAGGGGAGTCAGGGAGGAAGAGAGAAATGATTCATCATCGTCCAATGATTAATAACTCCACAGGTGACCACAGTGGCTGGAGCTCAGCCAATCCGAAGCCAGGAGCCTGGAGCGTCCTTCCAGTCTCCCATGCAGGTGCAGTCCCAAGGCTTTGGGCTGTCTTCAACTACTTTCCCAGGCCATAAGCAGGGAGCTGGATGGAAAGTGGGGCCGCTGGGATTACAACCTGTGCCCATATGGTATCCCAGCACATGCAAGGCAAGGACTTTAGCCTCTAGGCTATCACGCTGGGCCCACAACTTCTTTTTCAGAAAATTAATTAGTTCAAAGAGGTTAGGGAGAGAGGAGCCAGAGGTCTTAGATCCACTGGTTCCCTTTTCAAATGGCTACTATAATAGGCAGGACGGGGCCAGGTACTGTGGTGGGGGGTGTGCACACTCCAAGCAATAGCTTAACGTGCTGCACTACACTGCTCACTGCACCCTGCGCTCCTTCCTGCTGTCCAGGCTCCTGTCTCCTTTGGTGTCCAGGCATTTCTGACTTGAGAATGTGGCCCTCCCTCTCAGCCTGTCCACACCCTGTCCAATCATCAGGGCCCTGGGGCCCAGGATGGGAAGGAGCAGAGGGTGTTTTCAGGCCTTTCTGTTCCCACCACAGTCCAGGCAGGCAGCCAGGAGGAGGCTGGGGAAGGGGTGAGTTTCAAGGGGGGTATCCCCAAGTTTTCACAGGCTGTCTGCTTTGGCTACAGGGGAGGATGAAGAGATGGCTGACCTGCTGGCAGATGCGGGTGTCAGAAATGTGAGTAATCACGGCCTCTTGCCCTCTGCTTCTTGCCCCCTTACCTCCCTTCCTGCCCCGGGATCCTCAAGGCCAAGCAGGGTAGGCAGTGCCGAGGGTGGCCTCCATGTGGAACAATCAGCAGAACTCTCCAGCCTCAGGAGCCGCCTGGGCCTCTACCTTTTAGTGTTGTGCAGTTGAGAAAGAAGAGGCCTGTATCCTGCAGACAGTGGGCTCAGCCTTCAGCGCCTTGCCACAGCAAGGGACAGTGCTCCTGCACTATCTAAGTCGGCCTCATGGAGGACAGGGTCTTTATCACCCCTGTATTCTGAGGGGTGTGTTGGAAGTCTGTCTTGTCAGGGTGAAGGGCTCATCAGATGCAAACCAAGGGCTGAACCTTTGTGTTCCAGTCTTCTTCTTTGGGGTGGGGCCCAGAAATTTGAAGGGGAGGACCAGGTTTTCAAGCCAGGACAATCCTGCTGTTCAAGGACAACCCAGAGAGACTTCCTGCATCAGAAGCCTCTACAGTTCTTGGAGTTGGATCTCCTGTCCACTGTTGCCCCTGCTGACCTGGCTTAGCTACCGCCTGGGGTGGCTGGAATGCAAGCCCAATGGCCTCAGGCCCACAGGCAGTCCCTTCCTCCCTACCTTCTAGGCTGCCCACTCAGCGTTTGTGGGCATCACCCTTAGGAGATAGCTGCTAGGTCAGGGATAGCAGTCCTTGTGGAGAAACAGGTTTTGGGGTCCCTTCTCTGCTCCCCATATGTTATAACCTTTCAGTGCCTCAGTTCCTACTCTGTAAAATGGGGTTATAAGCAGACTCTTGTAGAATTAGGCTCCTGGCCCTTTAGAGATAGACCCCCACTGTGCCAGCTCAGAACAGAGCAGGATGCCAGGGTGCCTTGTCTCAAGGCTTGGAGGGTGCCCTGGAGCATCCATACCCTGGCACGAGCTCATGGCAAGTCAGTCTCTGCCCCTGAGGTCCCCAGGAACCTTTTCTCAGTGCCATTTCTGAATCTCAGTCTTCAGCCTACAGTTGTGGGAATAGATGTTGCAGGGGTACAGTGACAACTTTGGTGGAAGGCCTGTCGCACAGGCTCAGCCCTTGCCCCTACAGTGTAGCCAGAGCTGTCTTGCCCCTGGTTTCTGTCTCCACCAGGAGCCCCTTCTGCCATCATCTGCCAGCCTGACTGGTGCCCTTGTTCCAGTGCACCTGTGCACTCCAGCCTGTTCACACTGCCCAGCTGATTCTGGGCCTGGCTGTTGGTACTCCCGGCATGGGCCCCGAGCCCTAGGAATCTGCTTGAACCTTCTCCAGAGTGCAGCAACACTGGCCGTGGAGCAGTGCCAACCCTGTGAGCTGGGGCTGCCCTTGGTTCAATCCCCTCCCTGGCAGCATGCCTTGATCTGGCCTTGGCTCAAGGCCTTTGGCAGGCTGGGTGCTGGCAGGTTCCCTTCCCTCTCCCCACCTTTTCTTTCTTTTTCCAAAGATTTATTTACTTTTGGACAGGTAGACTTACAGAGAAGGAGAGAAATTCTAGCCACTGGTTTACTCCCCTAAATGGCCTCAATGGCCAGAACTGAGCCAATCTAAAACCAGGAGCTTCCAGGTCTTCCATGCAGTTGCAGGGTCCCAAGGTTTTGAGCCATTTTCCACCACTTTCCAAGGCTGTAAGCATGGAGGTAAATGCGAACGGGAGCAATTAGATCAGGAACCGGCTGCCATATGGGATGCTGATACTTGCAGGCAGATGATGAGCCAATTGGACTGTCGCACTAGCCCCTCCCCTCCCTCTTGTGAGGCATCAGAGCCTGGCATCTAGCTGTGCTGAGCATTCACTGTCGTCCAGTGAGTCCCCTGCCCACGCACATGACTGCTAGGCTGACAGTGTTGAGGGCCTGTAGTGACTGGCCTGGGTGGAAGGTCTCCCTCCTGCTTGAGAGCCCCTGTGTCCTGGGGCCTGGTGCCCACTGGGAACTTGAGGAGTGGAGTCTATATGAGGTAAAGACCTAGGAAAGCCAAACACTCAAGAAGGCCAGTGACCACATTTGCCCTGTTGGGAAAGAAAGCTGGGGCTGGGCTGAGGGCCAGGCGCTTGCTGGGCAGGAGCAGCCCACGAGGGTGCCATGGTTAGGGCCTCCCACAGTCACTGCTTGGCATGTGGCCTTGGTTCTTCTGAATGGAGGGGCGGGATGCGTGCTTAGTAGATAGAGGCCCTCTGTGTTCCTTAGCTACCGCTGTTAGTGAGAATGCTCACACCCCTCTGTTCATGAGCTTCCTGCCTCTTTCTAGAAAAAGCAGAAGTTTAAGCAGCAGAAAGAGGAAGAAGAGGAAGAGTTGGAAATGCCACCTCAGTACCAAGGTGAGGCTTCCCTCTGCCTAAGGGAGCAGCCTGGCAGGGAGGGCTGGAAGAAGTGTGAGATACACAGCCTGCTCGCACGTAGTTGGCAGTGACACACAGTGACTGACCTGACACCCAGGACTGTACTGGTGGCTCAGTGGGCATGGGGTGAGGGAGAGCCTGAGAGGAGATTTGAAGATAGGACCCCAGCCTTTCTGGGGAGCCCCTGAACTCCAGCTCCTTCAGGCCTGCCCCTTCTCCAAGGAAATGTGCACCTGGCTTGTCCACAGTAACAGTCTCGTCCAGGCCTAAGTCAGGCAGATTTGAAGAAACCCAGTGTGGCCAGTGTTGAAGGTGGGAGCTGGGGTAGTGTCCAGCTTGACCAGAGGGTCCCCTCTCCATTTGTCTCCTGGCCCTCAGGTGGTTAGAGCAGCTTTCAGAAGCACGTGCTTCTGTGACTTGAACTTTCTTCCTCTTGGGGCAGTCCTGCTGGACTCCTGTGGCACATCTCTGGTTCCAATAGAGGTACTCTCAGCCCTGCAGCCCCCATGAGCCAGGAGCCAGCTCGGAGACACTGTAGTGCCAGGGAGCCATGCTAGTCATGAAGTCAGGAGGCCTGGGTTTGGGATGCCCAGCCCAGCTGTTGCCCAGCTGTGTGACTTCAGCCTCGTCGTACTTCCTGGCTGTGTTCTGGATTCTTGGGCTATGCTCAGTCAGGACTGGAGGAACCTCTTGGTGACTATGGGTAGATCCAGGCCAGAAAGGATGGCTGAACTCTGGTTGCAGCCCTGATCTGTCCAGACCACCATCTTTGGGTCTGTGCAGTGGGGTATGTCACCATACTTCCATCTCACCCTATTGGTATGAAGCCCCAATGAGAGAGGGGAAAACCCACTGCCTCATTTTAGTTGTGAGACTCGCCTGAGGTTGGAGCTATGTGTGGCAGAGCTGGGAGTTGAACCTGGGTCTGTGTAACTTCAAAGCCCATGTTGTTTCCCCTGGAACACATGGAGCAGGTGTGACTTTGAAGTGGGCAGTTATATGTTAGTTGTGTGTTGCTAGAGGCCACTGAGTCATGTCACTGGCTGGCCTGTCCACAGGGAACATATTTAGCTTTGTTTGGTTAGGGGACAGAGCCAAGTGCCTGGCCTTTACCCATGTGCTCTCTGGCTGTTCAGGATGTCGCTTCCCTGGCTTTGTCTGACTCGGGTTCTCTGGGTTCTCTCCATTCTCCTTGTAGCTGGAGGCTCCGGCATTCATCGCCCTGTGGCCAAGACCGCACCTGGGGCAGAATACAAGGCCAAGGTAAGAGTTGCAGCTAGGAGCCTGGGGCCTCGGTACCAGCACATGTCAAGGAAGGCTAGGGAGGAGCTGTGCCCCTCATTGTCTTTGGGGAGGGGGCACCTTTGTGAGACTGGGCTGAAGCCAGGGAAGAAAGGACACAGCCCTATGGGCTTCAAGACTTCTTTCTCACTGCCTAAAGCAGTGGGGGAAGGGCAGTTAGTTGTGGGACCTGGCAGGTCCAGGGTGAAGGCGGAGGGGGAACCCCGTACCCTTGACTGACTGACTGTCTCTGGACGAGCAGAAGGCAAAGGGTGACGTGAAGAAGAAAGGGCGGCTCGATCCCTATGCCTACATCCCCCTCAACAGAACCAAGCTCAACCGCAGGTAAGGTGGTGCCCTGGGCAGGGCTGGACCCCGTAAGGTAGGCAGCTCAGGGCTCTAAAGAAGGGCTGGCCTTCATTAAACTCTGTTCTCTTGCTCGCTCGCCTCTGTGGCTCCAGTTTCCCTCAAGTCCACACCTGCCTGCGGATGCTCTCCTGCAGCAGTCTCCTGGGCTAAGGCTGAGTGGAAATGGCTGTTGGGTCATGGCTACAGGGTGTGCTACCCCGCACCTCCACTTGTAGTAGCCTGGTGTAATGTCCCTCTAACCCCTCACTGATGGAACATCTATTGCTTTCAGCCTTTGCTATTATGTAGAGTTCCTATAGGTAGGAATGAAGGTGAGATGCTGGGTGAGGGTGTTTGGAAGCTGGTGTTAGGGGGAAGTGGTATTCTCAGCTGCGGTCACTAGTCAGCTTCCTCAGGACACTGGTTTCCTTTAGGGGCCAGGGTGGGGGAGTAGGTGAGCTATGCAGGCCCTCTTCCTTCTCTTGGCCTGTGGGTACTGGGAGCAAGCCACTGCAGGACCCGAGGAGGGGGCTGCCTGCTGCCGGAAGTGGACTTTGTGTTGTTGCATCCACAGGAAAAAGGTGAAGCTGCAGGGACAGTTCAAAGGCCTGGTGAAGGCTGCACAGCGGGGGACGCAAAAGGGACACAAATTGCGCAGGAAGAGTCGCAGACCCTGAAGCCCAGCACCCAGGGTAGCCTGGGCTCCACCTGTGGCCCCTCATCAGTCCCGGCTGCCTTGCAGCACCTGAGACTGTGGCAGAGCCTGCACCCAGCATGACGTGTCGGGGCCAGGGCCCAGGGTGTTAGCACTACAGATGAATGCTGGCCTTGCCACGCGTCTCTGGGTGGCTCAGTGCTTTCTGCCCACGGGCCGTGCCCTGCAGCCGCAACTCCTTGGAGCTATGGGCTCTCAGCACAGCTGCACTCCAGGTCTAGGGTTCCTGTGAGCAACTGGAATAAATGCATTTCTGGATGCATCTTTGCTGTATCTTGGTGTCAGCAGTTATGGTTTGACACCCTGCCCCTCACCCCTGCCTGGCTCCTGACACCCAGGTGTTTTCCCCTGCCCGGGGCAGAAGGGTGGTCTGACTTCACGTGACCTTCATAGTCAGAAAATGACATTTTGGGGTCAGGAGGTGCAGCGAGTACCTGGGTTGGTCTCCAGAACCCTGCTGGGTGTGCTTTTCTAGCAGGCAGCTGGAAGCCACCCTGGGGCCAGATCACTCCCAGTGTGAGGACAGGCCCTGACACTTGGCAGTCCGTCAGTAAATTTCTCCATCTCAAGCTTTCCCATCTCACATGCATGTTCCGTGGTGGTTTCTGTTCCGGATAATGGCCTTGCCCCATGGTCCTCCCAGAGACCCTGCTGGTAGTCCTGCCATTCTCTTGAGGGCACCCAGTCTTAGCCAGATCCAGTGTTGCCAGAGTTGGAACCTTTGCTGTGCATGATCTTGGGCTGTGAGGAACCACACTTCGCCCAGAGGTGGCACTGTTTGAATGCCTAGTAAAGCGAAATCGGAAGCAAGCAAGAAAGGCCAAAAGAGCAGAGTATGAGGGATTTGCAAAGGTGATCTGACTGTAGCTGCAGTCGTTACACCCTGGATGTGAGGCACGAAAGACAGTGTTGTAACATGATGGGTTTGGTTGCTGATGCAACACCTATGTCTTGTACCAGCACCTGTTCAAGTCCGAGCTGCTCTGCTTTGAGTCCAGCTCCTTACTAATGTGCATGGGAAGGCAGTGTTGTGGCCACTTAGGAGTGAACTAGCAGGTGGAACACCCTCTTGCCTGTTTTCCTTTCTTATCACTTAGCCTTTCAAATAAAAATTTTTTTAAAAAGATTTATTTCTATTGGAAAGGTAGATATACGAAGAGGAGGAGAGACAGAGAGGAAGATCTTCCATCCGTTGATTCATTCCCCAAGTAAGTGCAACAGCTGGAGCAAGGAGCTTCTTTTAGGTCTCCCACACAGGTGCAGGGTCCCAAAGCTTTGGGCCGTCCTGGACTGCTTTCCCATGCCACAGCAGGGAGCTGGATGGGAAGTAGGGCCACCGGGATTAGAACCGGCGCCCATGTGGGATCCCAGTGTGTTCAAGGCAAGGACTTTAAGTGCTACGCTATCACACCAGGGCCCTCAAATTTTTAGGATTCATCTTAGGGCCTACCAACTAAATTAAAAATAAACTTTGCAATAAAAATAAATAAACCTTCAAAAAAAGAGAAATCTGGACTTAGGACAACTTGCTTTTCAAGAAAATTTTGTTTCTCTGAAAGGTGGAAGATGCAGGTGACTGGGAAGGGTAGGTGATTTGTGGGAAGGATTTGTGTCCTGTGGAAGTAGTTTCCGCTGTCCAAGGGGCTGATCCCCCATGGTGGCCATTGGCCGAGGACTTTCCAGGAGGGCAGTGTTTTTCTGTATGTGAGAAAAATGCATACAGCTTTCAGATTTCCTCTGTTCAGTTCTCATTCTCCCGTTTTTTTTCTTGGTTGCTTGTGCTCTTCAAAGGGTGATTAAGATGGATTTTATGTTTCCTAGAAAAGTAATGAAGGTTCGCAGAATGTTTGGAAACAGAAAAAGTAAAAGCAGTGACTGGAGTTTTAACATCAACTTCTTAACTTAATCCTTACATATCTCATTCCTGTGCCTTTTTTTTTTTTTTTCTGTACACAGGGTTGTTTTTAAGTAATATAAAAATAGAGTTTTAAAATGTAAGTTGATGTTCCAAATTTGCACTTGACTGTAACAGTTTGTACCCTACCTTCAAAAGCATTGCTTTCAATGGCCCAGTTCAGAATGCCTTCCCTCTGGACACAGCTCTGCTTATTTATAAAGGATATTGGCACCCACAAGGATGCTGCTGCTTGCTGTGTGCCAGTATCTAATGCCATCACTAGATGCTAGATTGTGTGCAAAGCAATATTTAGAAAATGACATGATGACTGCTTTCTCTTTGTTCTATTTTTGATATGCATTATTGTGAATAGATGACGGTACTCCAGAAAATAACCCTAATTGGGGCAGTGTAAGCTCCTTTGCCATTTCCTGAAGTCATGCTTAATGTAGCTACTGCTGTTAGAAACACTTTCCAAGCTGCCAGAGGCCACTGAGTCATCCCAGGCCAGGGCTGCAGTGGCACCAGACTTCCTCTTGCCACCCCGAGTCCCTGTTACCCCTCATGGAGTTGCGTGGAGAGGGCTTTTCAGGCTGTGGTGACCTGCCACCACCTGCTGCTCCCGGAGCTGGGAGGGGTGGGTCAGCTCCATGGGTCTCTGCATTGATAAATTGTAGACTCCACAAGAAACCACAGTTTGTTATTTGTTTACATATTTTTATGTGAAAGGCAAAGTTACAACAGAGATAGAAGGAAAGGCAGAGAAAGTTATCTTCTATCAGCTGGTTCATTCCCAAATGGCCACAAAATTGCCACTCAACTGGACTGATCTGAAGCCAGAACCCAGGAGCGTCATGCTGCTTTTCTAGGACATTAGCAGGGAGCTGGATCAGAAGCAGAACAGCTGGGACACGAACTGGCACCCATATGGGATGGTGGCACTTGAAGCAGAATGCCACAGTGCCAGTGCAAATGATCCACTAATTTGTCATGAGAAGTATCACACTGCCCCCGCCTCTTCAGATGCGCTATTATATGCAAACTCCCCCTTGCTTTGGAAGTCAAAGTTGGTGGTTTTCGTGACTTTACCACAGGGTAGAGGGAATCCTGTGGGTAATGGAGCAGCTGACATTTGGGGAACACTGACCTTCCTGGAGTACACCTGCTAGTGGGCGTCCCCCTCTGCCGCAGAGTGAGTGCTCCCTCTCTAGTGATTTCTGGACTCTACCTCTTCTCTGCTGTTGGGAAGCACCTCAGATTCAGTTCAGCTCCTGCTTGCTTCACTCACAGGCAGCCCTCCCAACTTTCACCAGAGAGGCATCCTGTTCCCTCTGGGGCTTTGGACTGATCGCTCAATCCTGCTGCCGCAGGGAGTGGACGGGCTTAGTTGGCAAAGGGCAGCCTGGCCTCTGGGTTTCAAGAATGGTCCCTAAAAATGCCTAGGTAGCAATTAGGGAATGCTTTCCCGCCATGATTTCAGCGAGGAATGGAGCACTGCCGTCACAGTTTTGAGTGCTGCTGAAGCTCTCAGGCTGTGTAGCAGGTTGGACACTCATATTGGAGTGCCTGCATTTGAGTTTTCACTCCAATTGCTAATGCCAACTTCCTCCTAATGCACTCTGGCTCAAGTAAATGGGTTTCTAAAACCTACATGGAGACCTGGATCAGCTCCCAGCTTCGCCATGAGCCAGCCTCGGCTGCAGGCATTTGGGCAGCAAGTAAATGGATAAGAGTCCCCTGTCTCAAACAAGATTAAGCACTTTGTTTTCCCCGAGTCTTGTTTTTCATTGGAATTGTGCGGGTGATCCATCCTAGAAGTGGAGGGCTTTTCAGGCTGTACCCCATTGTTAGTGAATACTAATGGTTCAGGATGCTGGTAGAAACTGTGACAACTTGGTAATGCCTGCTCCTTCCAGAGCTGGGGTGGAGAGGTCAGCTTTGCAGTTTCAAACCAGGGGTGCTGAGGTTCGGGGAGCATTGATCAGTCAGAGACTCACAAGAGCCTGGTCCTAATCTTGGACTTGAGGCCACTGAGCCTGAATTGCATACCAACCCTCTGTTGTAAATATGCTCATAAAAATGAGAAGGCGCCACGTCTCCATGAGCAGATTTGACAAGGCTGTGTGTGTTGATTGGATCGTCATGTGATAATATCTAAGACTGCCTAGCCTAAACAGTCAGCAGCTAGTTCAGCTCCTTGGAGGTGACTTGGGTGTGCCTCCAAAGCAAACACTCCTAATAGTTACCCAACAGAGCTGACACCTTATGTCCTGGCGGAAGTCTTTCCCCACCCAGGTGAGAACTATCAGAGATCACACGGGTCTCCTTTACACAGGGGCCTGGCTGTGTGGTTACACCCTGTCCACACCTGTCAGATTCAGATCTGCACAGGGACACTGACAATTACAGCAGGAGCCCATACGGTGCTCCCATGCTACCAGACACACCCTTACTCCTTGATCCCTGCTATACTTGCATCATGCCCATGGGTAGCATCCTGGTGATTTCCACTTTGCAGCTGGGAACCCCAGGGCAGTTAGGTAAGGCAGTGCCTAGGCCTCAGGAGCTCATGCCCATACCCCTACAGCTCAGCTTGGTCCCCAGAAGAAACATGGCTGCGAATTCCCAAATGCCATCTGAATTTGGGATACCACACATCTCATTCAGTCCTGAAGTCCCATATCTCAGATGAAACCCAGCTTTGGAAGAAATCTCTGTACTGATGGGTGGCTGCAGTTGTGCGATGGGACATGAGGGGTGGGCTGGGATAGGCTGAGTAGGGCCAGGCTGAGCCGGGCTGGGCTGGTTTCCTTTCACTCATACACATACATTCTTCCATTCTGTGTATATTCTTAATGGACTTAAAACGTTTTGTGAAGTGTAGGAGCTACTGTTAAAATTTAGGATCCCGCATTCACAGAGGCTTCAAAGAGGAAATGGGTAAGAAAATAGATAATGAAAACCAGCAGTGTGGTGTATCAGGTTAAGCTACCACTTGCTAAGCAAGCATTCCTTCTTATGACAATGGCAGTGTGGTCCAGGCTGCTCTGATTCTACCTTCCTGTTAATATGCCTGGAAAGGCTGAAGAAGATGCTGCAAGAATCTGGTCCTTGTCACCCACATAGGAGATCCAGATGGAATTGTGGCCTTAGCCTGGCCTCTTGACTATTTATTTGGACAAAGAATCAATAGATAGAAGGTGTGTGTGCGTGTGTGCATTCTCCCTTTCAAATAAGAGCAGCATGTTCACAAAATGGAAGGCAGCAGATGGTGGCTCCAGTGCCTGGGTCCCTGCCGCACACCTGGGAGACCCGGCTTGCATTCAGAGTTCCTTACTTCACTCTTTCCCAGCATGACTTTAGTGAGCAGTTGGGGAGTGAACCCAGCAGAAAGATTCTGTCTCTCCCTAACTTTTTTTTTAAAGATTTATTTTTATTTTTTATTGGAAAGGCGGATATACAGAGAGGAGAGACAGAGAGCAAGATCTTCCGTCCACTGATTCACTCCCCAAGTGAGCGCAATGGC